CCCCCAGAGAGTCAGCGTCACTGCTGTCCTTCCACTGTGCCCCCAGTAGGCATGCCTCTGGCTCACAAGTGTAACCAGGTTGTGCTCAACGCTGACAGGCTCAAAGAGGATGATGTGACCATGAGGCTGAGTAGGTGTGGGCAAGCAAGCTAGCAGAGGAGTGGATGGAGAGGGGACAGTCGTTGGGAGAAGGGTCCGAGGACAGGACTCATGGACAGCTGGACAGGGTGAGGGGTATGCGGAAGGTCCGACAGACAGCTGGACAGGCCAGTGGGGCAACCCACGAGGACACGCACCCGCCCAGGGTGGGGTGGCCCTTTCCGTCATCCCATCAGGTCAGCACGTGCCCTGCTGTCACGTATTTGTGTGCTAACCTGACCCCACCCAGCATGGAGGCCCCATTCCTTTCTGTTTCCTCAAGCCGGGCTTCCCTGATTCCCTGGTGTCTACCCTCTCTCTGCCTGTGGGGCACCCTCAGGTGAGAGAAAGGACAGAGGACGTGTTGGCAACTACTGGGCAGGGGACCACAGCTGCCGGGGACCTCCACAGTGCCACCCCCTGACCTAAGCCAGCTACCACGTGGCAGGCTAGCACTCCAGTGACCAGCACTGGGCCCTGTGCCTGACCCTGGACAGTCTCAGCCTCTTCTGGCCACAGCCCCTCTGCTCTGTCCAGGCCGAACTGCACCTGGCTATGGGCCTTGCCCCGCTCCTTCAGAGAGGTCGCTGTTCCTGGTGACGAAGCCCACGCGGGCAAAACAGACTGGAGCAGCGTAGCTGTCCCATGGGGCCCGACTTTGCTGCTCTGTGTGACCTCAGGCTAGTGTCTGGGTCTCACTTTCCAAAGCCATTCATGGAGAGCGGGTGTGAGAGGTGTGCAAGTGAGCAGGTGCCTGACGGGATGGGCAGCGAGAGCCTTATGGGCTCTGGTTAAGATGGACAACTGAGAGAGCCCCGGTCAGGGGAGGGCTAGGCGCCCAGCCTCGGCCTCCCTCCGGGGCTGCTCAGCTTCCCACCCGCCCGCTGGGCGAGCACCCAAGGAGGCACCAGCCACCAAGCCCCACCCCTTGCCCCGAGGCCCCGCCCCTGGAGTGAGGTCCCGCCCCCTCAGGCCCACCTCCCGAGCCCGCCCAAATCCGCGCCTCCGGAGCTCCGGCGGTCAGAGCTGAGCGGCCTAGGCCGTGTCCTGGACCGTCCGGAGCAAGCAGACCCCGAACCGGGTCTTTAGAGAAACCTTGGAACGCGGAGGCTTCTGGGGAATAAAGTTCCCACCGGCCATCCTAGGCCTGTTTCACGCATGCGCCAGACTCCGCCTCGCAGCAAGGGGCGGAGTCTGTAGGGGCAGTGGGTGGGGCTTCTGGAGCCTGCGCAATGAGCATCTGTCGTACACCTGCGAAGTCCGAGGGGCTCGGGGCCCGCTTCCCTCCACACCCGGTGCCGCAAAGGTGGAATTCGTGTCCGGACCGGTCTGACTGGCCTCATGCAGGCCACCCCGGTCACGCTGGCTTCTGGGCCACCTCTGATTTGATCCCTCCCTTCCTGGGGGCTCCGTTGGGCACCAAAGACTGGGGGCGCAGGTCCTTGACCCACCCTACTGCCCTAATCGCTCCGAGGGGTGAAGATCACCAGTGCCAGGCCCAGACCCAAGTACTCACATCCACTGTCATCCCGTCACACACAGACACACACACACACACACACACGCACGCACACACACGGCGACCCTGTGTGGCAGGTGCTACCTGCCAACTTACAGATGAAAGTGGGAGACGCTGGTGGGGTGGGGAGCTGGTGGTGGTCCCTGAGCGCGCCAAGAGAAGCTGCATTTTCAGAAATGAGCTACAAACAACACTTGCGAATGAAGCCCCTGTCGTCGCCAATTGTAAGGTCAGTTTTAGCAAAGGTGTGTAAATAAAACATTTTTTATCAGTTAGAAACCTATAAACCTCAGAGCAGTTTGTGCTCTCAGACATCTTAGCCTCTGTCTGCCAGGCAGAGGCTGTTGGTTGAAGTGAGGACCTCTGCCCTCTGCCTCAAAACAGGGGTCCTGAGGTAGGCGACTGATGGCTGGGGTTCCCCAGCCCACCGCAGGCCTGGGAGCTGAGGCTGACTTCAGGCTCACCTCCTGCCCTCCTTCCTGGCGAGCTGCAGGTCCTGGGAGGGATGACGACGTGCCTCAGATGCATGGAGGCTGAGTCACCCAGGCTGGCCGTGCCCCTCGGAGCCCAGGCTGGGCCACCACCCACCTGAGAAGGAAGGGTGGGTGGCTGCTGTGCTGGGAGAGCTGGGGCCTCCTGGGATCTTGGGAACCCCATCTTTGAGCTCCGCCCCACGGCCCCGCCCCTCCCCAGGAGGGAAAAGGCAGCTGCCAGTTGCTTGCCTCACAGGCACTGGGACCCGGCCCACAGGACGAGAGGGGACGCCGCTGCCATCAGCACTGCAGGTGGGTCCTGGGCTGAGGGGCTTCCCTGCACTGGGGCTCGGCCGCGGGGACGGCACAGCTGCATCTCCCAGCCTCCCCGCCCCATCCCCCACTGCCACGCAAGGAGGGCAGCTGGGAGACCTCGGCCCTCACACCCAGCTCACTCCCATGCGCACCCACACGACACATAAGCCTTGTACACCCTGGTGTCTCCACAGCCAGGCCCTTTGCGGGTTGGGCACCCTCTTGGGCTGCAGCTCTGCCCCTCCGCTGAGCTGATTCTGTCTCTTCTGCCTGCCCCCGCCAGGCTGGGCCATGGACCCACATGAGATGGTCGTCAAGAACCCGTATGCTCATGTCAGCATCCCTCGGGCTCACCTGCGGCCTGATCTGGGGCAGCGGCTGGAGACGGCTCCTCCTTCCTTGGGGTCCCAGCCTCTGCCTGTGGGATCCTGCACCTCGGAGCCCACCGGGCTCCTGCAGCCCTCCGAGGAGGCTCCAGGGAGCAAGGGGGCCAAGGGGACCACCCGGGTCCAGGGCCAGCAGAGCTGGCGGCAGCCCTGCAACCCCTACAGCGGTGGGCAGCGCCCGGCAGGACTGACCTACGCCGGCCTGCCACCCATCGGGCGCGGGGATGACATCGCCCACCACTGCTGCTGCTGTCCCTGCTGTTCCTGCTGCCACTGCCCTCGCTTCTGCCGCTGCCACAGCTGCTGCTGCGTCATCTCCTAGCCCAGCCCCTGCCGGGCCGAGGGGCCTCCCGCAGGACCCCAACATGGCTCAGGCAGCCACAGCGGTGCCCACATGTTTGGGGCAGCCACTGGACCATTGTCGTGGGAGGTGGCCACTTTCCACCCTGGATAGGAGTATCTACCCGCCACAGAGGCCAACAGCCCAGCTCCGGCCCCTTGAAACAGAGCCCTGGGCACTGGCTGTAATGGCAGCCCTGGGGACACCCTTGACCACCTCCCTCAGGGCCCGCAGCCCCGGCAATAAATCAGAGTGACCTTTGTTCTGGTGACTCTTCTCTGCTGCTGCCCCCCTTGAAGTGGGTCCCGGGCTGGACACAACCACCGGCCTCAAGCCTCTGTGGTACGTTCAGGGGTGGGGAAGCCACTGATGACATCCTAACCTGTGCTGCAGGTCTCCGGTCCACCCAGAGGCTGGACAGGAGGGGTGGGAGTGTGTCCCCTGCCCTGGCCCAGACGGGCCCGGGTTCAAGCTGTCTTGTGTTCCTTAGGGCTGAGGCCGAGCCTGAGAGGTCAGCCAGTGGGTCAGACGATAGGAGGATGTGGTGTTTGGAGCCATGTGGTGTTTGGAGGAGGGTCACGTTGGCGGGACTGCGCGGGTGGGGCCAGCACTGGCAAGTTTCTCAGAGCGGGGGCCCAGGCAGCCAGGACCGAGCCCTGCCCACCCGTGAGTCACGGCCCTACCTCGGGCGGGGTGTTTTTCTGGTTCCCCGTGAAATGTCCCATTCCTGCACATCTGTTGTGTGGCACCCAAGCCATGCTGCTCATCTGGTGTCCAGCCTCCAGGGCCTGGGCCTCCTGGACGAGGTGAGCAGAAAAGGAACTGGCCGGTGAGGCCCCTCGGAGAACATGTCTCCCCTCTGTCTGAGCAGGGTGATGTGCCTGCCTGGGGTGGGGGTGGGGGGACGGGTGGAGAGCCGAGCTGCTTAGCACTGTCCTCACCTCACTGCCGAGGGGAGGCTGGGATGCCAGGGCAAGGAGCGAGTGGTAGGGCCGGCGCTGGGCACTCTGTGCTTTCCAGGGCCAGGCAGGGCCAGCCAGAGGAGGAAGCCGAGCTGGCCTTGCTGGATGGACGGGTCCCGGTGCCAGCCCTTCCCCGACCCAGGGTGACTGGCCACAGGGCAAGACCCGTCTCTGGGTGTGGGTGGATATGTCATTGGCCTGACTGTACAGGGGCTCCGGAGTGCCAGTTTCCTGGCCCCTGCCCCATGGCCTGCCTCTACCAGAGGATGACCCCACCCAGTCCAGCCCCGGAAACCTGTCCAACCAGACAGAGAGGCTGTGGACTGCCAGGGTGGTAGGAGTAAGGAGGAGCCCCTCTGGCTCTGACTTCCTCCCAGCTGAGTAGTGAGGGTGCCGAGGGTCCTGACCCCATCCGGACCATTCTTGACACACCCCGTTCTGCTGTGCCCACGGTCATGGTCACTGGGCTGGCCTGGGGGCTATGGCCAGGCAGATGCTGGGGGGGCGGGGTGTAGCCTCTAATGGGGTCGACCAGGGCTAGCCACAGTGCCCTGCACCTCAGGGAGGTTCTGGGTGGTCCGTGTGTGTGTGTGGGGGGGGG